TTTAAGCATTTTAGTCAAGTGCCTGAAGTTAGATGAGATGGATTTGCGTGCTGGTGACTAATGATTTCTCATGGACCTCACCAAACTTTCATGGAGCTGCTTAAATGCAGATATGTTGTTTAATAACGAAAAAGGAAACCTGTGGGAAAACAAAGAATATCAATAATCACACATACTTACATCTGGCAATAAAGTTTTTTGGGGAAAAAAAAATCAGTACAGCAGCTTGTTGCCTTTGAAACTTAATGCCATTAAAATGTTCAACATGAAGTTTCTATTTTTAAAATAGCAGTTGAAAGAAATGCACAAGATTAATAAGAAGCTAAATTGAAACCACGTTGGTTTGTAGGTAACACAGACAAACACCGAGTTAATGGGGAGGGCTGTGCGTGCACTCCAGTTTGGACACTGCTTGCTTGGGTTTTATTTTGTCTTTCCTAGAAAGCAGAAGGGGGTAGAAATACCAGCCTGTTAAATCTTTTATTTCCTTTTTTTAGGCTGTTGTTCAGTTGAGTTTATTAAGCTTTTTGAAGCTGCAGCTTGTGACAAGTTAAGACACTGTCTACCACCCCAATACACAGGGAGTCTCTGATATAAGCTGTTTTACAACAGAAGTGGACAACAGGTCTGTCCATGGATAGCCTTAAAAAGAAACAAGGAGATGTGTAGCAGTCATGTAGGAAGTGATGAAAAGGAGATTTGAGGACTGAGCTGTTTACCTGGAAGGCAGGAGCCATCTGACACAAGTGTCCAAGAAAGCTGTAAGTCTCTCTCTCTATTTGTTGGACTGCATAAACTCAAGTCCTTGATATGAGATTAAAAAAGGAGTTTGAGCAGGGAAGTAGAGTGTTGGTAGGTTGGACCATGGAGAAGAGCTTTGGTTTTATTGGCGCTGTGACCATTTACAGGATGTCAAAATCAGGCCCACTGACTGCAGTGGAGTTCAGATGATCCACGCCAGCAGCAGAATTATCCCATATGGCTTTTATTTTCTCTCAGATTATTTTTTTTAAAGTCTCAAGGCTGTGTGGCAATAGTAGAAGAATGAGCACTGGAGGACCTTGTGAGTAGCCCGAAGGAGAATATGCAGATAGTTGTTTGGTTCCTGGATTGTTGGCAGAAGCAGTGGATGTTACCAGCAGACACTGCATGGATCTGCATATGGAATAACCTACTATAAATAAACGGCACAGAACGTCCAGCCTGTATTTACATAAGGGAGATGTCTGTAAAATATTAAAGTAATCAATGTAGAAAAGAACTAGGAACTTGTTGGAAGTGAAGGAGAAGATAAAGCCAGGGCAGTTTCTGTCCCAAGGTGCTCTCAGTCAGCTCCTGCGATGGCCTCAGTCTCCTTCCATGCCAATATGACTCCCAGACGTGTTCTCCAAACCAGGTTTCTGGCTGTTCCTCTGAGGATGTTTGATTTTCAACTGAACTCTGCACATCTCATAACAAGCTTTGGGTCTGTTTTTTGGTCATGGTTTGTGTTTTATGAATCTTATTTCTTAGATGATTGAGATTGGGATAGAGTCAGTGACGAGAACCTTGGGGAAGGCCACGGATATATGGGAGAGATCTGCTAATGTTTAACAATAACACATGAAAGTCTTTCCAGCTTTATGGTTATGATTACTCTGCTTTTATATATGAACAATTTACACAGGTTGTGAAGCTTCAATAACTACATCAATAACAAAAACACAGGTACAAATTGCCCAATGGTAGCATTGCTAAATAATTTTTTTTTCCTGACCAAAGTTGTTCAATATTAAAGAAAAATAAAAACCTCACAATTTTGAATGTTAGAGGAAGAAAACCCATTTTTTTTTCTCAATGAACAGATGACCCATTTTCACAGATGCTGACCTGTTTGCTCAAGCACTTTGGAGTCTCAGAGTGGTTGTTTAGATGTTGTTGGTAGAATTAGTTGGAAACTAGAACTTTATTGAAATAAAATTCAAAGTTTCAAAATTGGTTTGCACACCCCATCAGGAGATCAGGCACTCGCTGAGGTCAGAGTGAGTTGGGCACTTGCTGTGAAGGGAATATTCTGAGAAGTTTTACTTTGGAAGCGTCAAAACATTTTGATTCTGAAATTTGAAAACATGACGTTTGATAGAGGTGATTTTCTATTATCATATGGTACAGTATAGCAGTGTAATACTCACTAGGGTATAGCAGTATGCACACATGGTATATATTAACATTTGTTTTCGTGTAATGTATGTATAAGTTGAAACAATGAAATACAGTGATACGGTGAGAATGAAACGTATGAGTCAAGATTAACTTGGGAAGTTAAAACATTGGGCTGCAAAACAATTTAGTTTCATAAAAAAAAGGGTCTTTATTATGTAAAACTACTACATCAAACTGCTGCTAGCTTTCAACCAAGTTTCATTATTATAAGTGAAACCAGCAAAGCCCAACAATTTCCATTGTGGCAGCCTCTAATGTTGTTAAACCTTTATTATGCGTGCTGAAATCATCCACGCTGAGGGTGGCTGCAGGCTGGATTCCCTCAGAAATGACTGGCAGAAATGTTTCAGCAGTTTCTGAGGCTGAGCATGGGGAAGAGTACATTATTTTACTTACATTAAAATATGGGTGCTGTTTCAGAGAAAAGCATTAGCAAGGACACTGGGATGGACTTTTTGCCTCCCAAGTGTCTGCCCTGGTTTGGCCAAGGTGTGAACTTGTGTTCACACGTTCTCTGTGTGGCTCAGCAGCTCTGTCGGCTCAAGGAGGGTTTGGTGGAACCAGAGACTGGTGTCTGTTTTTTTATTTCACTTTTGCTGTTCAGATATGTAGGTGAGGTTTGGAAAGAACAGTAGCTTAGGTACCCTGTGTTCTTGATTGATCTCATTAGTTAATTATTCCTTTTTACTAAGGGAAAACCAGTTGATCTGCAGAAAAGTGAGTTTGGTATGTGGAACGTGTGCTGTTCCTCTGCCTTCAACCTCAGGTCCACATTTTAGGCAGGCTCAGCGAGGCGATGCTCCCCTCCATGCCAAAGCAGAGCCCGCAGTGCCAGAGATCTAATCAGGTGGTGACACCGAGGACTGGCAGAGATGTTTGTGAACATGGAAAAAGTAGTTCTCCTGGCTCTCCCAGCCAAGTGGCTGGCCAGGAGCGAGGTTTCAATTATAAGCAGGGCTAAAGTACGTTTGCGTTAATGACAGATCTGTCAGGAGGAGCGCAGATACTCCAAGAATACATGTGATGGGATTACGTGCATGTTGCTAATTCATTTGACATAGCTGCTTGCTTGAGTTTGGTTAATTAAGATGGATGATCTCTGTTGGCTGGGAAGTGGCATCACTGAACCCAAATTTCTTCTAGAAGTGTAAGGTTGTTGTGTGTCCTGGGCTGCTGGGTGTCAGGAGCCACCTCAGAGCACCCAGCAGAGGTCTGTGAGGAAAGGGTGGGCGACAAGCTGCAGGTTGTCACTGCTAATGTGGAATGGGATGGGTTTAGCCACCGCTGTCAGCTCAGCTCCTGTGCAAACCTTTAGGACCCATTTGTGGCTGATTTCTCGTTATTTTGGAACTGCAGCACTGCTGTTCCCTGCCTGGCTGTGGGCATAGGTCTCTCTGTGAGGAGAGGACAGGGTTGTACTGGTCTGTGAGGAGAGGAGGGGGATCCCTGAACGTGTGAGGAAAGAAGTGGGCTGTCTGGGGCTGTGAGAAGAGAGGTTCACTGAGGGCTGTGAGAAGAGGAGAGGGCTGCCCGGGGCTGTAAGGAGAAGAGGGGGCTCCCTGAAGCTGTGAGGAGAGAAGTGACCTGCCCGGGGCTGCGAGGAGAAGAGTGGGATCCCTGAAGTTGTGAGAAGAAGAGCGGGCTCCCTGAGGGCTGTGAGGAGAGGAGTGGGCTCCTGAAGCTGTGAGGAGAAGAGGGGGCTGCCTAAAGCTGTCATGAGAGGAGGGGGCTCCCTGAAGCTGTGAGAAGAGGGGCTGCTTGGGGCTACGCGAAGAAGAGTGAGATCCCTGAAGTTAAGAGGAGAAGAGCAGGTTCCCTCAGGGCTGTGAGGTGAGGAGGGGGCTCCCTGAGTGCTGTGAGGAGAAGAGGAGGCTACTTGAGGGCTGTGAGGTGAGGAGGAGGCTCCCTGAAGACTGTGAGGGGAGGCTGGGGCTGCTCAGAGGGCTGAGAGGAGAGGGCTCCCTGATGACCATGAGGAGATGAAGGGGCTCCCTGAGGGCTGTGAGGAGAGGAGGGGGGTCCCTGAGGGCTGTGACAAAAAGAGAGGGCTCCCTGAGAGCTGTGAGGAGATGAGGGGGGCTCCCTGAGGGCTGTGAGGAGAAGAGGAGGCTACCTGAGGGCTGTTAGGTGAGGAGGGGGCTACTTGGGGCTGTAAGGAGAGGAGGGGCCTCCCTGAGGGCTGTGAGGGGAAGAAGGGGCTCCCTGAGGCTGTGAGGAGAGGAGGGAGCTGCCCGGGGCTGTGAGGGGAGGCTGGGGCTACCCCTGCCAGGCATGGCTGATCCCAGAAGGTTCCAGCCAGCTCCAGCAGCCCCACTACAGGGCTCACCTGTGTGCCGCATATGCACAGAGCTAACAGTATTTGATATACTTTTAATGAATTCCTGCAATTTTTTTTTTTTTGGAGTTATTGAAATCTCCTTTTTCAAAAAGGTCATAATACTTTGTTTGTTCTATTTTTATTCACCATTTTTACCTTAACAGGCCTTAATAGGAAAATACCTGCTTGTGAATTCATTTTCTTGAAACCCACTTTCTTCCACCCAGAGTGTCTTCTAGGAATATCAGAGCCATTGAAGCACAAGCTCCTGTCTATAATACCTGAAGGAAGGATGAGTTCAGTTCTCACTTGTTTGCAGTCTGGTTCCAAGTTTGCCCACATCAGGGCTAGCTTTCTCCTTTGGATTCCTATATTGTCCCAATAGACCTTTCACTCCTGCCCGGGCTCTCCATGTGGTGTGGAATGTAACCTGGTGTCCAGGGCAGGCTGCTAATTACAGCTTTAATTTTATTGTGTTTAGGAGGAGACAGCTACCCAAGCTTTCCTTACCTGTGAGCAGGGATCTGAAGACAGGCACGATAGCAGATAAGATGTGCTGACAGACAGGACGGCCCCGATGGCAAATTGCCCATCAGGTGAGTAAAACCTGCGACTGATGAGTCCCATGAAAGGATGATTGTTACTATAACCATACATGTAGATAAATAAAGCTATGGATCTACATATGCATTACACACACACACACACACATATATGCATTTGTTTTTGTGTGGCGTTAAAAGCATATGTTCTAAAAGGAGTTTAGAAAAGAGAAGAAAAGGTGTGTTTTATATTATTCCTGTGTATGCATTTTCTTACCTAATACATGCTTCAATTCCTTTGGGGCCTTCTTAAAGAAGTAACTAATGTATAAGCAGTGAAACTTAAAAGAAATCAACTGGAGTCCAAATAGTTTCTTACAATGCCTAAGTTTTGTGATGAGTAAAAACTTAGTAACTTGTGATAAGTAAAAATATGTGGCACTGAAATGACCTATTATTTTACAATAAAGGCGCTATTATTTTACAGTAAGAAAATAAAAGCAAGGGGCTGCTCTCAGCTGTAAATACTGCAAAATTATTTTAATTTTGCAAATGGTAAGCTGTGGTTTTGTTAGTTGCAAATTGTTGCAGCTCCATAGCTTTGAAAGGGAAGCAGCTGATTTATATCAGTTGAAAATCTGTCTTTTTGTTCTTGATGTTTTATTCAGAATTTCTGGATCACAGTACATTGGAAATCGCTGTGGTAGACTTACCATAAATATTCAGGTTCTGTGGTGCATTACTCCTTGAATAATCCCATTAATTTCAGAGGCTTAGAAGTACTCAAGAGAACAGATTTCCCTGGAAAGGGAAAAAGCTGATCAGTCCTGAATTATGGTTATGGGGTGTGTTACCACAGCCTGCTTTCCAGTGTGGTGAGGAACTGAACTGCTGTAACATCAGCTCTGTTCCTTGCACCATTTGCCAGCTGTGCTGGGTTCAATACAGCACCTCTTGGAATCCATAGGAGCCTTTCCACTGACTTCATCAGGCATTGGGTGTTCAGGGATCTCACACGAGATCAAATGGCAGCTATTAATGGAGCCTGGCCTTCTTCCAGCTCTAGTTACTGCCTGTGGTGCTTGTACAATCTGTTTGCTACATAATTTTCGCTCATTTCATGAAAGCAGAGAATGCCTCAGAGCCATGCTATGCCACTTGGTATTTCTGTTTGTTTGTGGTCACTTACCTTTGTATTCAAAGGAGCTAAATGCAACAGCCATCTAGTTACTGACCCTTTCTTTCTGTGTTTGTTTACACAAAGGCTGTTTTTGCGTTTATATCACTGACCAAAAGAATTACAAAAGCTCAAATCCATGTTCATGCTCTCTTAAAATGCTCATTTTTAAAAATTGGGACAGATGTTTTGTGGTGTTTGAAGAAAAAAAATGCAAAACCTGGGACAGTTTTGGTGCTGATGATGCTTCAGAAATGGAGCTGGTTGAAATATTTCCGATTTTAAGATGCTGTCAGCCTTTTTTAATATAAATTTTTGGCAAAGGAAAAATAATAAAGCACATACCTGCAGAAAACATTTCAGTTAAGTAGTTTGCACAGTTCTGCACTCTGTTGAGAGCTCAAGAGGAGGAACACAAGGAGCCCACCAAGTGTCACAGGCAGGTGAGTTTGGCATTGTAGGTGCTCTGTGTGTTTTCTGCACATTGATTGAAGGAGGCAAGAGGATCACTGTCCAAAGGTTGGTAGCTCTCATGACAGCAGGAGTTTTCTCCCATTTCTCTCCATTTCCACCAGCAGTTTGTCCTTGCTGTGTTTCTTTCCTGTGGGTGTTTGAACACGGAACAGGTGTTTCCCAGGAAGCCTGAGTGCTTAGGGCTCTAATCGCTGTCTCTGGCAAATGGATCCTTTGTGCTGTCTGGAGGATTAATAGAGGGTTAGGTGCTTAAAAAAATAAACAGTGAGTGCAAACAGTGGGAAGGAGTAAAGCCTTGTGTGCTGAGAAGCGAGATGATATCATTTATTTAGCAGAGGTGATACAGTAGCCAGAGATGGCACCAGAGGAGCGGCTCCTCTGAAGGAAACAGGGAAGCACCCCATGGAGAACCGGTGCCCCCCCAGGCGTGAGGCAACCACAGCTCAGCTGTTGTGGCCAATGGAAAAAGATTGTTGGGATTGAAGCCTTGGAGCTCAGGTGCAGTGCAAGGGAATAGGGGCTCATTGTTAAGGCAAGGATCAGCGCTCCTTTTTGTTCCTTCCCCTGCCCCCTCCTCCTTTGGCACTACAATAATAATATCTTGTCACTCCTAAGACTCGCTGGCATAGATCACATTCACTGATGGATGTTCAGTCAGGGGACGCACTGAAATGGTTTGTTTCTGTTGATGTATGACTTTGTAGGCTCCTCTAATGGGAACGTAAATAAATGAACTCTTCAGCAGTGATTTCTTTCACTGCAGTCCAGTTTAACCTCTGAGTGCCTCCCTGCCAGGAGCCACTCCAAATGCTTTACTATCTTACATTGCTACAGCTTTTGCCTTTTTCTGGAGTTCCATGTATTCCATTTGCTGTCTGAGTGCACAGGCAACTTGCTATATGTGCATGCAAGTAATTTTTTATAATGAGTATTCAGTAAAACAAGGCTGAGAAATTAGGATGGACAGTCAAGAAAGGTAACTGTATCCACTGATACCGTTAAAAAGATTTCTCCTGATTTCCCTGGGAACTCTAGAGGTGATGACCAGCCCTTGAGATTCATTTCTTTTAAGCTGTGTGCAAGACCTGGTTCGTGTGAGGTTGTGGATCATACAACTGGAACATTTATTCTGTGGTCAGTTCTCACAGGTACGTAAACACTACAGTGATACTTGTCCTCAAGACAATGGAACTCAAAAACATCTTCAGAAAACACCCAGAATGAGTATATTACAGTGATAAACAAAAATAGCCTTTACAGAGAATATAGGCCATAAGGTATTTATTCTCATGAGATTTTTTTCACCCTAAGTGTATGGGAAGGAGAGTTTTGAAAGGAGACTTAACATAGTTTTCACAGCTTTGTTCTAGAGTTTGAAATGCTCAGGCTTGAACAGTTTACCTGCACCATTGGAAGTACCATCTTCCATAACCCTACATTTAAAGAACCCTTTAATGACCACTGGCCAAATCCCATTTCTTCAAGTCCCCACTTACAGAGGCTTCCTCAGAGAAGCTCATACACCAGCAGTAAAGAGCTTCTGGTGAAGGTGGACAGGGAAGGTAAACTGGCCTAGTGCTGTCAGCATCATTTCAGTTGTCATTTGGAAAAACTGCAGAACTGGTTACAGTTTTCCCTCCATTTCCATAATCAGATAGATCAGTCATGGAATAGGATCTGCTTACACAGAGAGGAAATGCCACATGGCTACAGAAATGCTCACCAAGCACGGAGCACTGTCTGGTGTGATCTGTGTAACTCCTGTCCCTGTGTTGGGACAACATTCTGTCATATCATACATCTGCAGCAAAGACAATTAAAACCAGCCTTTCCCACTTCATCCTCTGCTATGTAGGAGATGCAAATGCCAGGTCTTGCCAGGAGACCCAGCTACTGACAGAGATCACCCCCTCCTGAAATGCTTTTGCTAATTCTTGTCTATTCTGTCAGGAGTTTTCAATGCAAATGTACTCACTGGGGGAGAAAATCCTCTTTTTAAAATATACTATTTATTTTTCAGCCTATGTGCTTGCTGACCCTGCTAATAAAGTGCTATTTAAAGGCTGCATTCTAGAATGGGAAACATTGTCCCTCCACCCCTTCTCTTATATGTTCATTTGGTGAAAATGTAACAACTTAATTGAATGGTTGCCTGTGAGGACACTGGAACAGAGCATCCAGTATCTCCATCATTCCTTCATTATTTATGGTTGCAGCACCAGATGTGAGTAAGAAGAAAGGGGGGGTGCAAAAGAGAACTTGGAATGACTGTGATGAATAGTTGAAAGTGAACAGAGGGGCTTTTAAAACTCCTTTAAAGAAAGCCTAATGCTCTGCTTCCCTAAGCAGCAGGCTACTGATGATGGAAAAGTCACAGACATACCTGCAGAGATTTGGGAAGCTCTTGTTTCAGTAGGTCTTTATGGCAGCTAAAAAAAAATAAAATTCCTGTGCTCCTGCCAGCTAGGTTGGAGTGTCCAGCTTGCTTTTCTTCTTTCCTCTGTGAGGACAACATGCAATGACTTGGGCAGTGCTGAAATCCAAACTGTGTCTGTCCTTAGTCACCCCCTCCAAGACCAGGCCCTGGTTGTGTCTGGTACTTTTCCATTCAGTATCAGGATGGATATATTGTGAGTGATGTCATACAGAGAGAAGAATTTTCCTGGGAAAATAGTTATTTGTCATCAAGACTGATACCAGTGAGAATAAATTCGAATTTCATGTGGTCATAACCTTCCTTCCATCCAGGTGAGAAATAGAGAGGACTTGAGCAGTGCCACCTTGAGGACTGCTGCCTCCTGGCTGCATTTCTGATTCTGATGGTGGCATCAAATGCCAGGCTCTGAAAGCCCTGAATCTTCTTTGCCTTATTAAAACCAAGTGGTGACATTTTCTTTGACAGAAACGATCTGTATTTCCCTAATGGCACCCTTGAAATCCAACGGTGTAAATCAGGAATGAAGCACTTTCTATCCTCTTCCAGGATCACCCTGTTCTACAACAAACTTTCTAAAATATTCTGCATTCATGCTAAAAAGTAGAAAAATGCCCTCAAAGAGCTTTGGCTCGTGAGTTAACACAGTTCTTGTGTGGGTGAGCTGATTGCCAGAGCAGGCCACACCTCTTCACACGGGTTTAGGAAATGGTAAAGCAAATAAGCGCAGTGGTGCCAAAATCAGAGCGATGGCTGATGGAGCCCCGATGGGGAGAACAGCCAAACAGCCTGAATGGAATGTCAGTAAGTATGGAAGTTAAAAATACACATCTCAAACCTTGAGGACACCCTGGGGACTAAGAAGCTATATTGATACTAGACTTCAAAAGTTCCAAATAAACAGCAGGATTTTCTCAGTGCACAGAAGTCCATACTTGTGATGTCAGAGCCATGTTATTTCTGCTCTGC